TGCTCCATCGCGTCTGACTGATCAGGCTCCATACAGAGAGAAGCTCGGTTGACTGTTTTGGGAAGTCCGACAGTATTTGCAGCTCTTTGGAAGTAACGCCCCTATAGAGGCAGCTCACTTGGCTAGCTTGGCGCCCCTTTGCGACATATTCCCGAAATTCGGAGTTGAGCTCTTTAGGCTGTTCTTTGGGCAGCTCACTTGTTTGACTCCGAAGACGTCCATGAAGTGTTCCTACCAATTCAGATGTTGTCCGAAAAAGTGGTTTCCGCCCGGCCTGTACTCTAATGAGTTTTCCGTAAAGAAAGCCCGTCTCACACCATATTTCGTCCAAGCATTGCCAGAATGGAATATGCTTCAAGCTCGGTGCCTCACGAAAGGAATGCTCGCCTCATGTGAGACACTCGTGCTCAAACCTGCACAAGTCCTTCGATACTTTGTCCGATGCCCGTTGCACGCCCAGCACCAAACAACCGGAAGTCACGTCCACGAGGCATCCCCCTGCATTCTCTTTCTGGAATTGGGGCAGCTGCCGAATGACGCGGCGGCAAGCTGCCTTGCGGCAAACTGCATGCCCCAAAACCAAGCAACTTGTCATATTGTCATATTAAACCAAGCAACTGCATGCCCAAAACCAGAGTTCTCACATCATCCTGCTCTTGCCTCTGTCTGAGCGTCTTGCCTCTGCCAAAGGCCCTGCATCTGCCAGCCAGTCTGCCACAGAGCCACCTGGAGCCTCAGTAAACTATGGGCTGGGACAAGAGCCCAACATGAAAACTGCCCCTTTCAGCGTATGCCGTTCGGCAACTTTTGAATGTCGTTCACTGCACCCACGCGGCCTTCCGGAAGCATATGACAAGCTGTTCGTAGGGTTGGTTCGAGCACAATCCTATCTTGGTGACGTCATTTTTTGCGCAAGGCGTCTCGGAGGGGTATTGGCATATTGGAAGGCGCCGCCTTCCAAAAAAGTGGGCAACTGCAGCACGGCAGGGCCTCCTCCCCAAGAGCCCTACATAGCCAGTCACGACGTACAGCTCGTCATCAATGACCTCACCGGCAAAGTACCTGCCAGATGATGCACGTTCGCGCACTCCGATGCTGTATCAAATAAAGCCGTATCAAATGGCAACGCCCCTCCTGTGCTCTGGACCCTCCTGGCAGCTGCCAGCTCCACAATCCACAAAACAAGCAACACAAGCTAACTCAACTTGACATTCTGTGGCAGGCCTGATCCTGTTGGCAAACAGTTCATCGGAGCAACGCGCGGGATTATGGGAAGTGGCGTCGCACGGGCATAAGCATTCATGGCGCAGGCTTCGCAAGCGTAGGACCTGCGCAGGCCCAGCGGGACGGCTGTCAAGCTGCTGGGCTCGGGTTTGCGACTCTTCTTTTTTGCCTGGGCCGATCCCCAACGAAAATGAAGGAAAGGACCACACTGGCTAAGCCGTCTCGACTACTTGAATGGCCATACATGGCCATACTGTGCGCTCAGGTCATGCCTCCTCTGCGACGGAGTCTTTCAGCAGGGCACGTCGAGCCATCTGCATGCGATCACTGGGCAAGCAACAGGCGACAGGGTGGCTCAAGGCCCGCCTCAAGGTGCTTTGGAGCGACAAAGCGCCAGCAAACCACTCTGCGGTTCCTGGGCGTCACGGCGTTTCGCCGCTTGGGTCGGGTTCTTCTTCATATCCAACTATGCATTGCTGGAGAAAACAGCTCGGGTGCTGGGACCCTTTCGCCTGGGAGTCCACGCAACTTCAAGTTCAAGGCAATGAACTTGGGACCTGGGCAGCCGGGCAGCCTACTAAGGCAAGCCTTCGTGGCAAGGATAGGTCAAACAAGTAGCCGCCGACCCCTCCGGATTGTTGTGTATTTCAAGGTAGACCACATGGGTGTGTCTTTTGTTGAGGGTTTAACCGCTCCAAAAAGTGACACACATACTGACAGCCTGTTTGCGTGTGCCTGATTGGTTGAGTTCAGGATTGGGGGGTCAAGGGTGGTCAAACAAGCGCTTTTTCGTACTTTGCCAGGGATTAGGTTGTACCTGCTTTTTGGGAGCTGCCTTTTGGCTTTCGAAGTGAAGAAGGGAAACCAAGACACACCCATCTAACACGTGCACCTTCTGATCCATCATGGTAGGGAGCTTGTGGTCCTGGCCTTGGGATTGGCTTAGGGTTGGTTGGCGAAGCTGGTTGCGGTTTGGTTTTGGGTTGGTTTAGGGTGCGCCCATGCCGAGTGATCCTGGACGGCACTCGCCCGCATTCCTGCCAAGACGCCGTAGCTTCCGCCGCCCTGTCCAAGTGAAGCGCGCGTTGTTGAAGAAGCAAACTTTGGGTCTGGGGAATTGGACCACGGCCGTGCAAAGTACCCATAGGAGAAGACTTGAGAGAGGGCGGAGCAGATGGTGGCAAACCAGTCCAGCCGGACGAACGCTTAAATGGCAATTCGGACGGCAAAGCATGCAGGTGGGCAACGGAATGTAGTGGCAGCAAAACAGTTCAGCCCGGACAGTGTGAGAATCGACCCCCTCTGCCTCGCAACATGCACCCCCTCCTACCATGTTTCCAGATTCTACTGGGAAACAGGATCATTCTAAGCAAAGCCTTTGAGTTGCCGCGGCAGCGCCTTGGCGTGAAGAAGTTGCGTTCCCAGCTCCAGCGAGCCCAAGCTCAGCTCAACCACGTTGTTCTCGGCTGGCCTTGGGAACAGCATATTGCACTCCAGTTGTATCCGAATACTCAGAAACACATTGCAGTGTGGCCCTGCACCATGGAAGACTGCAACGACATGGCTGAAAACCCTAAAGTGAAAGAACTTTGAGAGGTGCCGCCGACTCGACGAGGCACCGCACCCACAGTGAATCCAAAAACCCACAGCCTGCTTTGAGTCTGTCAGGCTATAGCTCTTTTCAGGCCCCGTGCATGGCGCCGCCAGCAGCCAACAGATCGCTGGACCTGTGTTACGGGTGGTGCGCAGAAGCGTGCGGGCATTGTCGCGTGCAGCATGGGCGCTTGCGGGTGCAGTGTCCGCCTGCTGCTGCGTGCTTTGCGATTTTGCCTTTGATACGGGGTTCAGGTTGTTGCTTCAAAGGCGCAAAGTTCTGCTTCAAGCCAACTGCAGAGCCCCTTCTCAAATTTCCGACGGGCTGGAATACATGTCCAATCCTGGCTTCTTCATCCCCAAGTAGCCATGACACGTCGTTTCAGCAATGCCGGCGCATGGCACTGCGCCGGCCACCTCACCTCCCCTCACAATATCCGATGCAACCCCTTTACAAGCTCCGAAAGCTCAAGCTAGTACAAGCACCACATTCAATTCAACCGAAAACACCTGAGCCTGGGCAAACCTTTTTGTCTGACACCCAAAGGCCGTCCCCCCACCCTCTGAGCTTTCTGCAGAGCTTGCCCTGGCAGCGGCGGAAGCTCTACCTTGGCAAATGGGAGAGGTGATGATGACCCTCCACCTTACTCAATCCCGAGAACCCCAAGACAAAAGAAGACATGCTTCCGTGTGGCAGAGGATGGCAGAGGTATTGAAACAAAAGCGCAAGCAGGCCCTGTACCTGTAGCCTACTTGTATTTTTTCTTGCCCCTGATGGCTATCAAGAGCCACACATGGACTACCTGACCGGCAGCCCCTAAATGCCAACGAGACCTGCTGCAAAGCATTCTTAAAGACAACAAGCCTTGCTCTATAAAACCCATAATAATAATAATAATAATAAAAAAACATTCCTGCTGGCTTTCGCATCCCAAGTGAAACAACAAAAAGCAAAACGCGGAACCGCCTTGGAACGTTGGCTTCAAGCAACGGATCCTGCCTGAAGGCTCATCATGGCATCCACTTTGGATGCCCGGTTTCCTTGGTGCAACAGTCAAGGTGAGCTTCAAGACAAGCTCAGGAACCACCTTGATGCCTCAAGGTTCAATCAGATTTGTTGCAACTGGAAGGCAAATTCTAATTGGAAGCCCTTGATCGTTTCTCAATGCAAAGTTGTCGTGTTTAAGATCCCCTTGACTTCTCACGCTCTAAAACCATTTGAGTCAATTCAGGATGTCCCATTTCATCAATTCGACTACTCGAACTTCCGCGATTCTGATCACGCGTCCGCGGGCCCTTTGATGTTTGCCAATGTAGGCAGGGGTCTGAGAGTGAGGCTCTCAGCCCCTGCCAGCTCCTCACAGCGGGCAAAGTGCGGACTAGTGGGGAAAATCCAGTCGCCGGAAGTCGGAATTTCAATCCTGGGTGCATCAACACGGGCCCATGTGAATTAGCACCACCCAAAACTCGGCTCCATTACCGCCACATGATGGCTTATATGGGCCTTGCTATTGATAGTCAAACCACCTACTCCACACATCCCATGGATGAGCTCAATGTCCTTCGGGTCCGGGTCACAGCCGCCTGGGCAGGCTCGCTCTCTGCCAAGCAGCGCGGCAAATGAGCTGTTCCTTCCGGAGGCACTCCACCAAGTCTGCCCTCTCCCTTTGGCTTCCCTTTGGCTTCCCTTCCTTTGGCCGCCCGTAAAGAAAACCTTAAAGAAATGAATGCAACCACGCCAATCCCATGCTCATGTTTGATTGTGCCGAGCCTTCCGCGGCTGCCTGGCGCGGTCCAAGAAGAAGAAGCTAAAACCGTGCAGCGTTTGGATGCCTTTGCTTCGAGGCTATTATGTTTGAGGTGGTTCAAAGAAAGGGATTGAACCAGCCACTGGGAACCCCTCCCCTCCCCCCCCAAAAAAAAAGAGCAGCATTTGTAGGGTCCCCCTGTTTTGACACATGGCACCGCCTTGTGCCCAACTCCAGCCTCTTCCTGGGGAGCTTCTTGGCCTTGGGTTTTCCAACTCCACTTCCAAAACGACCACGGCGACGTCGGCCGAGCTGCTGAGAACTCCGATCTGGGCCCCGGGGCTTGGGCTGCGCCCCGCGCTGTGGCAGGTCTCGGCCTCGGACCCGTCCGAAGGCTCGGCGGTTTTGTTCGCATCTCGTGCCGAGAAATCGCCTGAGAGGCGCACTGGATGTGCGCCCCACCTAGGTTCTGCAACATAGCGGCACTGAACTAATGATGCTTGGCGTCGTGATTTGCGTGGCTAATTAATGTCCATCTGCTGAAAGCTTACCAATCTTGGCCATAGCTTGAAGCAGTGTGCACCAAAACAAGCGGAGCTGTGCTTTCCATACCCAAGGCCGCCACCATGTTGAGCTGGGGTCCCAGTTTCCAGTCTTTGCCCATGACAGCATGGTTTCACCTCCGCATCCGCTGGAAGCTCGGGAAGCCAACTCACGGAATAGGTCGACAAACCCTGGCTGACAAGCCACTTGCCACAGTGGCGCCCATGCCAGGCCTGTGAAGGGATCTGGTGCAGCCAACCCTGGCGAGATGCACCCCTCAAAGACCAAAGCTACACCGCAGTGCATCCCCACTGCAAAGGGCAGGCGACACTGTTTCAAAGGCAACTTCAGGTTGGGGCAAATCGAGTCACCCACTTCCAAGTTTTGCTAACCTGAACTTCTCACGTCAAGGCACGGCTTGTGCTCAAACAAAAAAGCTGCCTCGGACCATCTGTGGCGCGCCCTCGGCCCAAACGGTTCCGCGTCGCCTAAGCCTTGGCTCCGCAGCGCGGAGGGGCTCATGGCCTGCACGCGAGATTTGTTGAGCTCGCGGCGCTTGCACCCGGTGGCCCCGTGAACCGAAGGACAAAGGACATCTCTTCATAGACTAGGGGAGCAATGGAGTCGCGAGAAAAAAGAAAAGAAAAAGAAGGCGGGGTAAGGAAGCAGAACTAGAGGACTGAGACTTCAGGTCACCAGGTGGCATTGAACAGACTGGACCACTGCGAAGCCCTGCCTCCGCCGTGTAAAAGCCAGCATCCAACAGCCCGAAGTGATCCCAATCCTGGCATGTGGCTCCTGCTGTGGCATCGATGAAGATGTTCGTGTAACGGCCCGAGAATCTGTGAACTATTTTCCAGGAGGCTGCTAGAAACTAGGTGTCGTCCCAGCATTGCAAATCATTTACGTCAACACCTGCAAGCCTTTTGCAACTCCCTTTCTTCCAAATTCAAACCGTTGCCTACGTTGCAGCCATGGACCCCAGACAAAATTGACATTTGCTGGGAGCTCGTTTCAGGCTCAAACTGTTCTCCTCCGAAATGCCATCCCTTATAGCGCCTTCTCCAAATGAGTTTAAACACGTTTGAAGCACGAACTGGCTGTGGGTCAAAACCAATGGTACCATTTTGGAATTTTGGGGTAGGTGAATTCACCACCCATTTTGGTCTATTTTAGTGGGGAGTGGGATGTTCACTGGGGACTGGGGGTACGATTTGGATTTTGACCCATGGCCAACTCAGAGATCAAAATCAAGGATCATCGGCCTCGCCTCCTCGCGGCCCTTGGGCGTCGCCGGGGCGCTTTGTGGCTCCTCAGAAGTTCTACCTGGGGTCCTGGCAGAAAGAGCAGCTGAAAGCTCATGGAGCGGCAAAGGGTCACTGATTTCATGACACAGGCGCCCTGAAGTTCTGGGCTTGGTGAAAGTCCGCGCATCGTCATGATGTCATGGTTGGCTCTCAGAAAGATGTGGGGCCTATGCATCTGGCAAGGTCCAGGACAAAACCAGGTCACGAACCCCGTTTGGGGAGGGTGTAACCAATTCTCAAGGCCTACACATGCTCAAGCATTCCCCATCATCTGGATCAAAATGAGGAGCGCTCGCTGATGTGGACAGCAGAATGAACTCTGCCCCAAACCAACCGTCCCCAAACCAGTCCTAAAATCCTGCATTCAAATCGTCTCGTTCCTTTTCGCAAAGTTACTCAGCCGCCACACGTGAGCCCGTCCCCGCATCCTGGGTCTCTGCTCCAAGGCCTAGGGTTGTCACCGGCCCAAGTGAGCCCTGCCAAGAGCCGGCTGCCCACAAGGCCACAAGGTACGTAAAATCAGAACCCCTGACGTGCCGACATCCGTGAAACACGCGGATTTTTTTGCGCGCCCAATAGCCAACAGCATGGTCACGTTCCTCCAAAACAGCTGGTAAACTTCATGGCCACAGGCACAACCCTAGGTGGCCGGGCCAAGGTGGCCCAATGCCGCACCGTGGCCGCAGCCAGAAGACCCTCTGGCCTCAAGCTCACAAAGGGCACTTTTGCGCGTTCCAACCTTCTGCGCTTTTCATGGAACTTGTGCATAGGTTGCTACATGGGTGTGGGCGCAAAATAGGTACCCCAAATGGAACCCACGTACATGAAAACAAGAACTAAAACATGTGGGCCCCCTGGTCGTATAATTTTGATACCCACATTTTGTCAGTCGGAAATATAAATATTTCACTTGCTCAGGCAGGGCGTTCCCTCTCTGCTCAGCTTTGGCTACGTGTCTGAGGTGGTTCAATAGCCCAAGTACACCGCTGCATGGGGGAGTCAGCAGGGTGGGTGGCTACGGCCCGTCACCAGGCTGACAAGCTTTTCAACCTTCGCGGGAACACCTTTCTCGACATTCCCTCCTGCAAACTAGCATGGAACACACAAAACAACATGAATATCCTTCTCCTTTTTGAGCGCCCTTTGTGGATTGCGTATGTACTTGGCCGGGGAGTCACTGTTAGTTTCTGCAGTCTCGATGCTTGGAGCGCTGCAATTGCTCAGGCAAGCTGTCGTCACAGTTCCCGAACCTTCCAGCAAATACAGCCAGTGCGCAGTGAATTTGAATCAACTTTCATCATCTTTCATCATGGTTTTTGTGGCATGCCTCGCCGGTGGCAAGTAAATCCTCCAACGGCTCACTGAGCTGCCAACTCATGAGCACGCCAGGGCTGCCGCCTCCGGCAGTGGCCTTTGGCCTGGGCGAGCGCATGGGCCCATCCCACTACGAATCATCCCCCCCCAGTCAGAGCGGCAAAAGGGTGCCCACATTCTCCAAAGGCAATCCTTTCCCAAGCAAGCAGGAAGCAACCAGCACCCTTCGGGGACCAGTGCTCTTGCACAATGCCAGGTCAGGTTTTTTTCGTTCGCCAGCCCACGTGCTTTGGCGCCCATTTTCTCTCGCTTCATTTCGCCGGCGGCTTCGCCAGAACCACCTGCGATCGATAGCCCAGCACGTCCGTGACCTCTTGCGCAAGAATCTGCCAACCCAGGCCTCAGCTCAATGGCCCAAAGAAGTACCCACTTCCGGTGGCCCGCTGTGGAAAGGGTCAAGGCAGGGCCTATCAGATTGGCAACCTTCCATCTGAGAGCATGGGGGGCGCTTGCCTTTGTGGCGTTTGTGGGTATGTCCAAGCGGAGGACCATTGAGCCAGGTCACTCTGCAACTTGGCGCTGACATCTTTCGGCCTACAGCCGCCAACCACAGAAGGCGCTCGCAGCCAGATAGATTCCCAAACGTCCATGAGCCTCAGCTCCGCATCTGTTCCGCAGTCTTCCAGCTTGCCAGCATGTCTGTCACAGGCTTAGAGTCTCTGGGAAGAGGCGTTTTGCTGCCCAGTAGCTTGCTGCCTGGAAAGATGCCTGGGCTCAACCAATTTGCTTTCTCGGCTCGCGAATAGTGTCAAACAGTCGTCATGACACAAACCGGCATAGCTCTTTCTGCAAGGCCGTTGGGCAACCTAAGACAAGGGCCCAAATTGGACAATGACCCCGTTTTGACCACCTTTTAAGGCTTTGTGGCATGCAATGAAATAGCATTTGTTCGCCATAGCAATGCCGTGTCCACTCGCCTTGTCAAGAAAACTCCCGGACGAGCTTGGGGTTGAGTGGGCAAAATCTGTCCCATCTCCAGGCCCAATCAGGCTTCAAGAGTGCTCATGAATCCGAATGTTCTGGTGATCCAGTGAAAGGATCGCCTCCCACTCCTCACAATTTCTCGCCCCGAAACGCCCGTGAAGGCCGGCAGGGCGCTGGCAGCCGCAAAGAGCCCGCCAGAGGCGCGGAGGAGCTCGGCGCACTGCGCCAGGACCCGCTCCAGGTCCTGTTTTTTGTTTTGTTTTTCTTTTTGTGGGCATGGGGCAAGCCCTGCCCTAAGCATTCCTCAGGAAAACCCCTCAAGAATTCCCCTTAGGAACAGGGATGCCTGAAGGAAATGTCTCCCGGTTAATTGGACAGATCTCTCAACCGGAGACAACGCTGGGCTTTTGAAAGAATGTGGGACTGCCCCTGGGACTGACCTGTAGGCATTGCGCATCTTGACGCGGAGCTAAACCAACCGCCAACTCACAACCGGGTCCTTCTCGTCAAGGATGTCCTGTGGCGCAGCAACTGATTTGTCTCAGCCCCCGAACCAGGCACTTCCAATGGTATCCTTTCTCCGACAGAATGGTAGCGACAAGAAGCTGGCATACCCCATTCATTAGCCGGGGGCCAGCTGGTGCACTGGATCACCGCGTTCTTGTAACTTTGCGAGATACAACAAATCGAAACCTAGTGCCAGAGCCTATGTTTGTGATCTATGCTGTCAGCCTAGCTGACGGTTTCCTGATTATCTCCTTCTTCCCCAACAGCTGAAAGCTTTGGGGTCTCAGCCCAGATAGGCTCCGGGGTGGTGCGGGGCGGCCCTGAGGTAAGGTTCCACGAGGGTTCCACCAGGGTTCCACCAAAGTTTCACGACGGTTCCACGAGGTTCTGAGAGGGCTGCGGGGTGGTGCGAGAACCAAAAAGAGCACCGCATGCTGTTGGATATCACCTGAGTTTTAATTTTTATTTTTTTATTTTCGGTTTTCAGTACGCTTCTTTTACATGGTATGACGTGAGCTTGGTTGCTGTTGACCCCCCTGCAGAAAGTTTAACTCTCTTGGGGTTTAGAGGAAAACCCCTTTATTTCCCAAAAAGTTAAAGTCTAAAGATCCAGCTCAATAGCAGTCAAGTGAGTCACGTCGCCACCTTGTTGGAAGCGGCCACCTTTTGCTTCCCTTTGTATTTCCGAAGTCAGCGGTAAGCCGAGATTCCAAGACATAGGACGCCACGATACCTGAGCACTCGGGGCTTGTCAGCTTTGGCAGGCTCAACTCTCACCCCTGGCAGCTTGCCCACATTACCAACGCAAATGGGGCCTGCCGACGGTGGGCTTTCGCAATGCATTTCAAAGAGCTGCATCTGCTAAGGTCCCTTGCAAATTGCCCAAGTCCGCCGTCTTGCTTTTTGAAGCTTCCGCTGTCCACGCGCGCTTTGAGGGCAGGAGAGCAAGCCTCACTGCTGCGCCCAAAGCGGCAAGTTGCCGAGCCAAATGGCCCAACCCGGGCAGACTTGGTAGCTGCCCAAGGTGTCTCTGCAAAACGTGGCAAAAGGACCGAGGCAGCCCTCGGCCCGAAGTGGCTTATGGGTTTGGGAAGCACTTCCCCTGGGCGCAAACGATTCCATGCGCATGGAAAGGAACCACGCAGCCAAGCTTTTGCTGGCTGAGTAATGCCAAGCTGGCGGCGTCGAAAATTCCGAGTTGGCTGGTGTCATCTGAAGCATTGTACAAGATGGAAACCAGGATTCCATCGTCTTCTTTGCCGTGGGCGGCCTGCTTGGCAGCCAGTGGTGCAAGGCAATATCAAACGCAGCAGCCCCAAGAGAAAGTATACAAACGGAAACGCACAAGCTAACCCACCTAGCAACTGCTGTGCCTGCCACAAATCCGCAGTCTGAACGAATCGAAATAGCAGCTGGAGTTTGTTGCCTTCAACGCAGCTGCCAAGCGCGCCCAACTTCCCTGCCTGGCTTGGCACGAAATCGGCCTCTGTGAGGAAAATGCCAGGTGCTGACCAGTGCTTGACCACCTGTGGGAGGGGGCTTGTGTCATAGTTGGACGAGGACATGAGAACCCCTCTTTGTTGGGATTGAGCTTTGTAAAACGAGCCATCCATCAACCACACAGCTAAGCCGCGGATCGTGACTGAACGTCTACCTTGATGAGCTGGTCAAACCACCTGCGCAGCCATAACTGAGATGTGCCAAGCACTAAGCCAATCCCTAAGTGGAAACATCGACACAGATTAGGTGTCCCGGTTGGAGGCCAATGGGCTTGCTTCCGAGCCCAAGGTCCAAGGTGCCTGGACGCGGCTGTTGCTGGAGCAATCGCATAGAAGAACCGGTAACTGGCGCTCATCTTGAAGTGTGGGTTAAACGTCGGGTAGTCGAATACTTTCGCGGTGTCCTTGGCAAGCGGAGACCTTCCTTTACTATAGTCATAGGCCACGGGCTTGTCATCTGCGAGCAAAAGAAGCCTGTCCCCCGTGAGCAATGCCGACAAGCTTCTGCGAATAAAGCATCGCAAGCAACTGCCGCCTCCTTCGGTTTAACTTCACACCGGACAGGAGGATGAAAAATATGGCTCCAGTTGAGTGCGTCCACAGCTAGGTTCCTCTCAAAGTAATTGTCCAGGTAATTCCTGGGTTGCACACGGCCAAAAGAGCTACTGCACCAAATGCCCGCGCCCCATCGCGGCCCCATCGCGCCCCTAAGCCAAGCTGCTCAGTGGCCGCCACGCTGTCCACAATGATCTTCCCGTTGGACTCGAAGCAGTTCCAGAAATGATTGTTCACAAAGCCCGGTCCTCCCAGCGGCTCGAATGACCCAAGGCACGAAATGACCCACGTCAGCACGTCAGCATGTCAGCCGTCGGCCGCTGCATGCACTGCACTGCCCTAAAAAAAACTCAGGTCACCCACCTCCGCTCAGGATGTGCGAGCTGTTTGTGCTTCTATCCATGACCAGCCAAAGGTCATCCTCCTGGCAATGGAGTCTGCCCAAAACACTACATAGGAAAGCGGGAGAAGAGTTGCTTATTGCTCCGTCGTACTTGTCAAGCCTTTTTCTTCTACAGCCAAAAATGCTGTTCAGCATGCGCTGAAGAGAACTGTTTCAACATTCAGTCAAGTTTTGCTTAGTCCTCGAGTTAAACAAATGCAACCTTGAAGTTGGTCCCTCTCTCCCTCCCTCTCTCCTCTCTCCTCTCTCCTCTCTCCCTCTCCCTCTCCCTGTCTCTCTCTCCCTCTCTCTCTCTCTCTCTCTCTCTCTCTCTTTCTCCCCCTCTGCAGCAACGTCCCCAGCTGTGTAACAAAATGTACGTCAACCCTGAAAAGGCCATAGCACATACCCTTTTCATACCATGTCCAATAGATACTTCACGGTTGCAGCAATGGGCCAGCTATCAAATTCTACGCCAAGCCGTGCCTTCTGGTGCATGAATCGCAGCAAGCCAGAATTGCTGGCCACCGGGACCCTGAATTCGAAGCTGTCAAGCTTTGAGACGAGATAGTTGGGTGTGATGCACGGGCTGTGGCTGTGCTGTATCATCCGTCCTCAGAAACTACAAGCCGACAGCTGAGCCTTAGACAAAACACGAAGCTACCTAGCTTTTGAGTAGCAGCCGCGCATGCGATATTGCTAGCCAGGGGCCGTTCGTAGGTGTGGTGATTCTGGGAAGGCCAGCTGTGGTCATTGGGGGGCTATCCGACTATCCCTGTTGCTTCCCTGTGTTGCTGGCGCCTGTCTTCGAGAAAGCTGGAAATCAAGAAGCATGAGGGTGCGTGAGGCCGACAAATGTCCAAAGCCCCCGAAAAATCAAAGCTGGCCACAAAATCAAAATGAAATGCGCCTACGATCAAATCAAAATGACCAGTCCAAGAAAGGTTGCGATCCAAGCTTCTTTCTGGCAGTGTGGCCCGGCTAATCTCCTGTACCGCCAAAGACTTGTTCGCCTGCAGGATGCCCACGCAGGCCTGGTCACAGGCAATCGCCTAAAGTTTTAAAGGCGGGGAAACAGGAGACAGAACGCTTTTGTCTGCAGGTTTTGCGCATCCAGGCCCAACAGTATCCATGGACATGGTTTCAAAGAGTGCTGCCGCTGGTCTTTCTCGGAAAT